AGGAGGAAGAGTCTGGGAGGCCCCACTCGGCTCCTTTGACTGAGGCTCAGTTCTCCCTGCCCCAGGGCACCAGGCAGGGCCAGTACTGAGGCTCCTGGAGGAAACCTGTGTGCCCACTTGGGGGGCACAGACCCATGAGCTGCACGCCTGCCCCATGCTGTCTGTCCGCGTCTGCTCTCCTCCCCCGGCCCTTGGCGCCCGCACCATGCTGCCAGCAGCACCTCCCACCCCCTGGCCTGGAAACATGCCCACTGTGCTTGTCCATCTGCCCGCGCTGTTGTTCATTGTGGTGGAGCCCAGGCTGGGAGGCGGCGGGCTCCCGGGGCCTGGCCCTCGCTGTCTGCTCGTCTCCGAGCCCCTGGCCACCTCCCTCCTGGACCCACAGCCTCAGACGGCCCTTCCCCATTTTGCCCTCCACAACCTCCCCAACTGGCAGTTTTGGGGGAGGATTTTGTTTGTTTCTCTGCAAAAACAAAACAAAACAAAAAAACAAGAGCAGCATTCAGCTTTGTAGGGTTGGCTCTGTTGTGGGGGTGTGTTGTTCTCCTGGTTTTGTTTGGTTCTCATTTCTCCAGGCATCCGTCGCTGTGCCTCGTCACCTCACCTCTCTTTTCTCCTGCTCTCTCCTCCTCCACAGATGCCACACGCTGGCAGTTCTGACCAGCCCCATCCCTCCATACAACAAGGTTTGCACGTCCCACACCCCAGCAGCCAGTCAGGGCCTCCATTACATCACAGTGGGGCTCCTCCTCCTCCTTCCCAGCCTCCCCGGCAACCGCCACAGGCCGCTCCCAGCAACCATCCACACAGCGACCTGACCTTTAACCCCTCCTCAGCCTTAGAGGGTCAGGCCGGAGCGCAGGGAGCATCCGACATGCCGGAGCCTTCGCTGGATGTAAGTTGGGGTCCCCACTTGCCTTGGCCTGGGGCTAGGCCTGGCGCCCGAGACCTGCCCAAAGAGCAGGGCTGGGTGTTGAGGCTCAAGGCCCGGGTGGAGGAGGTATAGCTGTGAGGGGTTGGGTGGGTGGTGTGTGGGCCCAGGCAGCTTGTCTCCCCTGCCTTCAAAACCAGGAACCCCCACCAGGGGGAAGCCTCACTGAGGGTCCGAGGGTCCCCTCCCCTGCCTCCCAGCCCCTGCCCCTCGCCCCCTGGCCGCGGTCCTGCAGCCCAGCCTCACCCCACCTTCCCCAGGCCCTCACAGAGTCCCTCTGGGCCCGGTCCGGAGGCAGCGTAGGAGGCTCCTGCCCTTCTCCCCCTCCCCTCCCCCCCCCTCCGCCCACATTGAGTTTGCCATCTCCGTGTCTGCCACACTCTCTGGCCGGGGCAGGGGAGGGGCTGGAATGACAGCCCCTCTGTCTCACTGGTGTGTGTCTGTCTCCAGTTTCTTGTCCGTGTGTTATCCATGCCCTTGCTTCTGCTTGCTCCATCGCTCACTCTGAGACAGGCCCCTGGACGGGGTGCGAGGGGCCAGCCTCTGGTCACGGGGCTGCTGAGGCGGACGTGGGAGGCTGAGACTGTCTCCCGCCTGAGAGCTGAACGGCCTGAAAGATGGGAGGAGATGCTCGGAATGCTGGGGGCGGGCCAGGGCGAGACAGGAAACCCGCAGGACTTGCCCTCCCTCCACAGCCCAGCTCTAGCTTTCCAGGAAGGAGGCCTGCCCTCTCCTGAGCCGCTCCTGCCCTCAGTCCCAGCCCCGTCACCCGTGGCCCCGCAGTGTCAGTCTGGGGTGAATGGGTGCCCTCGCTGGGCGGTCACTGGGCGCTGCCCAGCTCTCCTCCACCAAGCAGGCCAGAGGGTGCCTTAGATTCACGAGGCCCCTATGACAGGAAGACTCCAAGGGCCTCAGGGTAGAGGGTAGGAACCCTGCAGACTCTGCCCAGGGCCGTGCTGCCAGCCTGCCAGGGGCCTGCCAAGGAGCGGAGAGCTCCTGAGAGCAAGGGATCCGGGCAGCAGGAGCTGCAGGGGCCGCCTCCATGCACTTGGGTTCCGCTGGGAGGCCCCTGGCCCTGCAGGTCCTTGGGGCAGGTGCCGGGGCCAGAGGGTCTGCTGCGAGGAAGCCTCTGCCCTGCCAGGGCCTTCCCAGCTGGTGGGCTTGAACCAAGCATGGGTGCCCCGACCACACGTGGCCACGGGCGTTTGGGGCCAGCTAGCACGGCTCGTTTCCCCTGTCGGGCCAGGACCCTGGGAGGCAGGCAGGCAAGGGAACGGGCATGGGGATGCCCCGTGTCCCTCACCAGCCCCTCAGCCGGCACCTCATCTGGCTTCTGTATTTCTCCTCCAGCTCCTGCCAGAACTCACAAATCCCGACGAGCTCCTCTCGTACCTGGACCCCCCCGACCTGCCGAGCAATAGTAACGATGACCTCCTGTCTCTCTTTGAGAACAACTGAAGCCCGCCCTCCGCCGGGGCCATCCCTCCCCACTCCGCTCCCTCCCGTCGTCCCACACACTTTCCCGCTGGGAGCCGAGTCCTCAGACCCTCCCCCCTGCCGTGGCCTCAGAGCGGAGGGGTGGAGGGTGCCCTGTGAAGGCTGTGGTCTGGAGCCGGTGCCCGGAGCCGGCCGGAAGGTGACCCTCACGATGGGAGCGCGGTGAGAGGACACCTGACAGCTTCCTGGTCCCTCCGTGTGCTGACCCCCGCGACCTCCAGTGGCCGCCAGGTTCTTCCAGTCTCCAAACTGTAACCCTGCCTCCCTGCTTCCTGGCCCAGAGCCTCCTTCTGTGACTGAGCCCGAAAGAAGCCCCCAGACCCAGGCGGCCGAGCCCTGGGGAGCAGTGACAGTCGGCTGCAGGGAGAACAGCCCGCCCACCACCGTCACCCACCACAGAAAAGCACAAGCCTCTGGGAAAGCCCACTCACGGAGGGGCCACGGTTGCCACTCGACCCCTGACCTCTAGCCAAGATACCCTGTAGACATTGTCTCAGCAAGCAGAGGAGGACACGATCCTGTGTTTGAGAGAGGGTGTGCCGTTCCTGCTTGGGGGCTGGTGGGGAGAGGGTCAGGGCCTCAGAGCCAGGACAGCACAGCAGGTGGCTCCACGACCTTTGGGCTCCGGCCTGGGAGGGCAGAGAGCGAGTGCCCGGCGGAAATTATTGTGCCCTTAGTTGGGGGCGGGGGAATGCCGCCCGGTGGTCAGTAGGAACGGCAACTTAAAACTGCTCCAAGCCACTCCTGTTTTTGAACAACAGCCTCAAGCTACTAAGTCATCTGGAGAAGAGAACATTGGACTCGGACAGCAAGCAAACCGATTCTCCCATGTGTGCTGTATCCTCCCTCCTGCTCCTCTCCCACCTCTCCCAGACTGCTACATGGGACACCCACTTCCCTCTCTACTGATGCCCCTTTGTCCCCCGCAGACGGCAAGGTGGGATGGTGGAAAGGCATGGGAGATGCTGGCTCGGGAGTGTGCAGGCTTAGCAGCAGGAACCCGGCATCGGTATCCCCAGCCCCCGCTGTCTGGCTGCCGATGTCCGAGGCTGCTGTGTGTGCTGGGGTGCGCCCACAAGCATCAAGGGTGTTTGCATGGCTGCCTCAGACACCGCGCTTGGCTGCCAGCCGCTCCCCTCTGTGTCCCTCTGCCGTCGAAAGCTCACCCCACACTCCTGCTGGTTCAGACAGAAGCAGCCTCTGGTTTTCCCTCCCACTCAGCCGACTGCTCTGAGTCTCCAGGTAGCTGTGTGTCCTCTGCTCCCTCCACCGCACGGCCTGGGACGCTGCTAGGCCGGCGGGTCACTTGTGTCACGTCTGTAAATTCGCTGCGCCCCTCCCTGCTGCTGCCTGGGGCCTCCTGCTCTCCTGTCCACCTGTGTTCTCAGTCTCCGGCTCCCTGGGGCGGGGCAGGGCGGGTGGTCCCAGCACTCCTCAGCCTCTGACCGGGACGGGCCTAGCTGTCGATTTCCAGTCACTACCAGCGGCCAGCACGAGGTTTCCGGAAGGAAAGCTGCCGTTGTCCGCTCCCACCTTGTTTCCTTTGTCCCGTTGTTGAGGTTTTTTCAAAAAGTGTGGTGTTCAGTATGCAAATCGATTATTTTAAGAATTGCTTTTGTAAATATCTTTGTGAATATTTTAGTATTGTCTTTGATAATCTTCAGCATTTTCATGACCTGGTTATAGCCTTTGCTGGTGTTTTTAAAATGCCTTGACTCAACGACAAAGACCGAGTCCTTTTTTTTAAAAAAAAAACACAAAAACAAAAAAGCAACCAGGGCTATTTGTACCGATGAAGGGACGAAGCGCAGAGGTGGCTGTGCCGTGAGTTAGAGACCAGGCTGCCCACTGGGAGAGCCAGGCCCAGGCTGGCGGGACGAGACGCACCAGGGAGCACGCGGCCGTCCTTGCCCAGTGCCGATAGCCCCGGCTGGGAGGCTGGTGGGTCGGGCGTGTGGGAATGTTCCGCCCCAGACAGACTTACGGACACCTTCCCTAGAAGTTCCTGCTTCCTGCCGTGTACTTTTTCCCCAGAGAGGCCTGGAGTTCGTTCTGGTTCTTGTCGGGGTGTCCCTGCTCTGCTCAGCTGACCTGCCCACAGCTTCCTAGTGCAGGAGGTCACTGCTCCCACAGCCGGGCTCCAGGCACCTCCTCCGCCCTCTCTGGGGAAGCCCGGCCGCACCCGAGGCAGGTTGCCCGGATCCCCTTTCCCACAAGCCCCCACCAGCAAGTTCAGCAAAGAGCCTTCCTGAACCGAGGTGCCGAAGCCCGCCCTCTGGGACGAACTCTTCCAGAGCAATTTGGGGGCCGGGCCAGGGAGCGAGGGAGGCAGGAAGGCCCCCGGGGCTGGGAAAGCCCCAGCTGGTGGCAGGTTCCGGGGCAGCCTCCCCCAGCAGGGCAATTCTGAGCTCAGGAGATGCTTCCCTGATCCTGTTTGGATGACCACTTGGAGCCATAAGTAACCTCAGCAAAAACGAGGCCTCGGCAAGCCCCTCTCCGCGCCAGGCACGCACCAGGCCACAGCTGCCACTCCACAGACGGACAGGGCGCCGGCGGCCGGCGGGGAGGCCCACGTGCAGGCAATCACCCCATCTCCTTGGTTTGAAGCTTTACCCATGTATCATGTTCCCTGTAACCATTTTATTTTTTGAGAAACGTCTAATACTTTCTCCCTAATGGAAGCCCTACACCCCCAGAGAGCTACATGTCTGCTCCCTCCGCCTGACCCACCCGGCAGGGTGATGTCAGCAGCAGCGACTCAAGCGACGTGTGTACATATGTAAATGAGAAATAGAGACATGTTAACAGATGCATTCATTTCCCTCGGAATGTGTATTGTTTTTATTTTACAAAACAAAAGGCTTGGAACTCCATCTTAACGTGAAAAACTAGATCCTGTTGTTAGCATTTGTGAGGTCTCTCTGCATCTGTCTCACTATGTAATATACTCTGACCCCGTGTGGAAAGGAATTTTCGTTCTGTTTTGTTTTTATTTTACCTACATGTACTATTTAGCTTCAGTGTACTAGTCCTGCCACCTGTGTATTTTTAGGGTGCTATGGAAATAATGAAAAGAAATGGGGATTTCGGAAGAAAATTGTAACCAAATTCATACTTTGTATAATTTTTGATATCATGATCACAGGTGATTCACACGTACACACACATAGACACACCCACCGTGCGGCCCGAAGTAACTCCCACAGAAATCTCCATCGTCTTTGTACATCGTGTACAATGCAGTCATTTCATACTTTAAACTGCTCAGAAAAAGTAATTGTGGTTTCTAGTCTTGCAAAGCTGTATGTAGTTAGATGATGTGACAACTTCTAATATTTATCTAATAAATATGTATTCAGATGAAACCTGTATATTAGGTGTTCATGTGGTTATTTTGTATTTAAAGATCAAATTATTTGACTATTGCTAGACATTTCTATACTCTGTTGTAACACTGAGGTATCTCATTTGCCCATGTTAATTTTTTTCTAAATAAATGGACAAAAATGAAGGTTTGGCGAATTAGCTATTTTGTGAACATTCAGGAGTGGTTTGGGCATTTTTGTTTTTGCTTTTAAACCACCACCCTGCCCAATCACCCTGCGAAGGAAAAAGAAAGGAAGCAGGTGGCTTGGTGTTGAATCGGAGGAGCCCCTGCCCTGGGTGCCCCTGGAAGAGGCCCTGAAACCCCGGGGCCAGGTGAGAGCCTTTGAGCCTGTGCCCTCGCCTTCTGGGCCCCTGTCTCAGCAGGCCCTGCCCCGGCGGTGGGACAGGCAGGTGGGGAGCGGGACCTGAACAGGGCCAGGGGTGCTGGCTGGGCTCTGGTAGCCAACAACACTGGGTTTTCTGGGTTTAAGGAACAGGAGCCTGTTCCCCATGTTTGGCCCCAGAGGGCGCTGTCCAGAGCATTTGGGAATGAAAAACCAAGCCCAGGCCTCAAGCCCTGGGTGTTGACTTACCCACGCCCTCTGTTGGCTGTCTCTCCACTGCCTAGTCATTCCCTGGCCACCCAGTTCAGCGCCCTCCCCTCTAAGGGAACCTGGGCTTTTCTCTCCTGTGACTGCACTTTACTTGGGCTTCTCTTGCTCCAGCCCCGCCCCAGGCCAAGGTTCTAACTATCCTTACAGCCTCCGCACCCGACACAACTGACTGCCCTCCCTGTGCCCACCAAGTTCAGGGAAGGGTGTCGGATTCCGGAGCCCAGCAGCCAGTTGCCGTGCATGCACTTAGCTCTGCTTCCAGCGGAAGCCACAAAATAGCGGCTGCGGCCTTCCCTCTGCAGGGCCTGGTGAGGGCGGGTCCAAGGATGGCACCCCACAATGTGTCCCCTGGCGTGTGGGGGACCACGTGTCAGGAGAGTGAGGTCTAACTGTGAGGAGGCGTGTGTGCAGCAGCGAGCCGGGGTGCAGGCTGCGGGGTTGCATCAGCTACTAAACTGCCTGTGGAATTCCCCGCCTCTGGGGCCTCTCCAAGGGCCAGTTTCTCTTTTTGGTGGGAGATGGAAGGTGAAGGACAGAAGGAGAAATGACATTAAAGTGGCATCCTGGCCCTGGCCAGTGTGGCTCAGTCAGTTGGGTGTTGTCCTGGGCACCGAAGGTCGCAGGTTCGATTTCCGGTCAGGGCACACACCCAGATTGTCGGTTCAGTCCCCAGTTGGGGTGCATCCAGGAGGCAACTGATCAATGTTTCTCTTCCACGTGGATGTTTCTCCCCTTCCCCTCTTTCTAAAATCAATAAAACGCTTTTTTTAATGGAATCCTGGTCACTGCTGAACCTCAGGCACTGCCTCCTGCCGGCCTCACAGGGCAGGAGAGGTTTTCTCTGAGCACAGACACTCCTCGGAGAGGAGCAGTGAGGGCATAAGGGAGAGCTTCCGAAGGCCCACCCCGTCGACGTGAGAAATCTCCAAACCTGTCGAGAATTTTTATGAGTTTATTTGAACCAAACTGTCAGCAATTGCAGGGAAGCAAAATCTCACCGGACTGAGAAAATGCTCTGGAAAATGGCAGTTTTGCTACGTATTTTGTGCATCTGAATCAAAGGGGAAGACATGTGGGCTTACATGACATTCACCGGTGATAGATTAGGGAGGCGGGAGAAAGAGCGGGGAGAGCTCTGGGACTGGATAAAATGTGACCAGGCCCTGCCGGTTTGGCTCAGTGGATAGTGTTGGCCTGTAGACTGAAGGTTCCTGGCTTCAGTTCTGGTCAAGGGACTTGAGGCAACCAATCCGTGTGTCTCTCTTACATCGATGTTTCTCTCTCTCTCTGTCTTCCCCCCTCCTTTCCACTCTCTCTAAAAATCAATGGAAAAATATCTTCAGGTGAGGATTAACAACAACAACAAAAAAAAACCGGACAGACACATACTACTTTTACGGGTGCAGGACAGTTAACAGTTACAGAGCTTAGAGATGGTATTTGAGTCACAGGAGAACAAAGAAGGCTGCTCTGGTGGTGGCTGTGCCCTGAGGGGTCTGGAAGAAGCTCACTCTGACATTCTAAAGGGATGCTATCTTAGATGCCATGACTTAGGAAGGTTCAATTTTACACCATCCTACGTGGTTGCTTTCGGTCTCTGAGTTTGTAAGGCCACCACGCAGGCCGTCCCTGAGCTTGTCAGGTTGAATAAGTGGCCCCCTGATCGTCCACACCCTGCCCCCCATGGCCTGGGAGCAGTGCTTCTCCACCCATCGCTGACTGACCTGAAAAATCAGTTTGGCGGGTTGTGACCAGCACTTGTTAATGAAGTAATCGAGAATAGAAACATCAAGAGCACCCTAGAAAAGAAGGGTGAGGATTGCATCATGAAACTCGGTGCAGGTGTATGTGTGTGTGTGTGTGCATGTGCGTGTATGTGTGCTGAATCATGACATAAAATTAACTTGTGGGTTGTGGTTAAAAACAAAAAGTTTGAATGTCATTGCCTTAAAGGCAGGAAGTAGGGTGGGAAAAACAGAAAAACAAGATGACCCATGGGCTGGAGGATGTGATGTGTGACCCCCAGGCTTGAGGGGAGGGCAGTAGGGGAGAGGGGGGAGGGGGAGGGAGCTGAACTCCAAGCACCCCGGAGCCAGAGCCAGGCCCTCTGCTGGGCTTTGCCCATGGACTTTTCTCCTTCCAGACCCCTGGGAGGAAGTAGCAGGTCTCAGTGGGCCGTTGGCATTGCTGGTTTCAGGTTCTGAAGCTAGAATGCAGGGGAGGTTTGTTATCTGGAAGGTAAGGGGACACACTGCCCACGCTGCAAAGCTTCCGCCCTGAGCCTCACACTCTCCCTCCACATAAGGCCATAGGGTGCTGCTGGGGAGAGGCACTGGGCCCCGCAGGTGATTCCAGGACAAACCAGGGTCTCCAGCTTCACTGACCTCAAGGCATGGTCTGTGTGCCCACCCACCCATCCCCCCCCCCGTCCTCTGCTCCAGCCTCCTGTTCAGTCATGCCCACCTCACGCTAAGCAGGTTACCCCATCACACAAACCCCACTAACTACCCCCCACCCACAAACCTGCCTGTATCCTCCCGCAGCCTTGTCTTCTTCTGCCCAGGCCCACAGGAAGTGGTATCCCTCCCCAGCCCCTGACACCAGCACTTCCTCTTCTGGAAGAACTTCGCTCCATCAGCCAGCCCCTCTCCTACACCCTCCCCTCCCCCTCCAGGTCCTAGCTGAGCTGTGGGCCCTGGTGTCCTGCGGTCTAACAGCCTGCATCCCACCCGCTGCTGCCCAGCCTCCCTGCTCCTTTTTATAAAGACTTCTCAACTGGGAAACTGCCCGGTTTACTGTCTCCCCTTGACCACCGTCGGCCACGCCCAGCGGCCTATGCTCTGAAGTTCCCTGACGCTTCTCTTGCAACAACACCAATGCTGCTTTTGGAGACTGGGCCTCACAGCTGCATTTGACTGCCGCCGTTTCTTCCTTGAAACTCTCTTCTCGGAGGTTCCATGACAACCCCCTCTTTGGGGCCTTGGGTTCTGCTGAGTCCCTCTGGCCATGCCCTTGTTGCCATCGTCACGGGTTCCTGTGGTCACTGGGTACTGCGGAGGCCCCTCGAGCTCTCCTTTACTGGTTGGCACCCATCCCTCCACGGCTAAGGGTGTTGGCTGCCAGCAGACAGGGAGGCACCCCTTCCAGGAGGCCCACAGCTAACGGCTGTCAAAGGTCAGCTCTTTGCTGCAGTGCGCTTAGTTCCAGAGTCTCCCCTGAGGATAAGATCAGGCTGAACTTCACCTGTGGCCACATAATTGCTCAACTGTTTCTCCTTCCTCTTCTGTCTCCTCCATCCCTAACCTCAGGTGTCTCCTGAGAGCTCTGCCAAATAAATCATGGGAATCTGAAGGCCTGTCTCAGACTCTGCTCCTGGGAACCGGACCAAGACCAGACCGTGGGTGCAGGGCCTGGGCCTGGAAGGCCTCGGGGATAGGATGCTGGAGGCGGGTCATTCACCAGGTGGGAGTGAGGGCCCGTCACGGGACGTAGTCACGTGCACGGGGTGGCCGTGCATCTGCTATGACTTTTAACCTGCAGTGAACTGGGATGGCTCACCGGTGAGGGGGCTGTGCCAGCGGGTACAGTGTCTCTGGCATTTGGGAGAGAAAAGGAAAGGATAACCATTAAGACTACAGAAGGGAGTGGCTATTGCTAAGTGTCACTGATTCATTAAAGAAAGGAAATTGCAGTCCCAGATCTCAGTCGGTGATTTAAAACAAAGCGTGAGGGTTTGGGAAAACCTCTTGGCAGGAAGCACTGAAACACGTGTGTCTTGTGCAGCCGGAGGGTAGAGTGACGATCGGGGAGAACTTCCCGTAGGAGTGGCAGAACCTCAGAAAGGGCCAGCTGCTCTGTTCAGACGGGTTTCCCAGGCCATAATGGCCCCTGGTAGGGAAGGGAGGCCCTCAAGATCTGGGCGGGGCCAGTTACACCAACTCATCCCCCTTGGCAAGTATCTGTTGCCAAGTGGAGGGTTCAATGTAAGCAGCTGACAGAAGGAAGTACCTCTGTTCACAGCTGAGGCAACAGTGGAGGTGGGACAAGCCACAGGTGACCTGAGCCTGCACTGCACTCCCAATGGCCCTGAAACACTGTGGTCAGAGGGAATCCTTCCAACAGTAGAGATGTGGGCAGTGCCTCTGGTCACCTACTTGGCATGGAGGGAGAAGTGACTTGAGAAAAGCATATGTACATACTCATAGGCAGTGGCAAACAGCTTCGCTGGTTGGTTGGAGGCCTGGAAAGAGCAAGATTAGACTGTCAGGGACAGGAGGACTCGGAAGGAGGCGTGTGGGTAGATTAGCCCTGGAATGCCACACTGGACTTCTGGGAGTTCCTGCCCACCCTCCCCCTCCTTCCCTGGAGACTGCCACCTGCCTCTGCTGAAGGGTGGTCATGTTTGGCCCACATGGCCAAACTCCCCTTGCCCTCAGCCAGCTAGACCAGGAGGGGCACATGCCCAAAGGCTTAGCTGACCAGTGACCAGTCATATTATATTTCTCACTCAAGAATTTGGCCTGAGCCCTAG